GCACCTAATCTATATGGATGAAGCTTGTGGATTATTTAAGCTTGCAGGTATGCCCGGTGATGTTGTCAAGAAGAAGGTCTTCCCTTTATCTTTTAAGGGAGAGGCATTGACATGGTTTAGGCTATATGATGATATGGGCTCACGGAACTACAAATGATTGAAATTGGAATTTCATCAGAAGTTTTATCCTATGCATCTTGTTCATCGTGATCGTAATTATATATATAATTTTTGGCCTCGCGAAGGAGAAAGCATCGCTCAAGCTTGGGGGAGTCTTAAGTCAATGCTATATTCATGCCCCAATCATGAGCTCTCAAGAGAAATGATTATTCAACATTTTTATGCGCGGATTTCTCTCAACAATCGCTCTATGCTCGATACTTCTTATACTGGTTCCTTTATGATGAAGACTATTGAATTCAGATGGGATTTATTGGAAAGAATTAAACGCAACTCTGAAGATTGGGATCTCGATGAAGGTAAGGAGTCAGGTATGACACCTAAGTTTGATTGTGTTAAATCTTTTATGGATACCGATGCTTTTCGTGAATTTAGCAATAAACATGGACTTGACTCTGAGATAGTAGCCTCTTTTTGTGAATCATTTGCTACTCATGTTGACCTCCCTAAGGAGAAGTGGTTTAAATATAATCCTCCCACTGAAGTAGAAGTAGTCGCACATATTAAAGTTGAAGAAAAGATGATCACTTATAATAATCCTGTTGTTCCTACCACCTATATTGACAAACCACCTTTCCCTGTTAGGATAAAGGATCATGCTAAAGCTTCAACTATGGTTCGTAAGAGTAATATTAAAACACCTACACCACCTGAGCAAATTAAAGTTGAACCTAGTATTGCTATGGTTAAAGGTCTCTTGGCTGATGATATTGATGGGCATGTTATTTACTTCTGTGATGAAGCTGCTAGAATTGCTAGACCTGATACTAAGAATAAACATAGACATGTTGTAGGCATGCCTGTTATTTCTGTTAAAATAGGAGATCACTGTTATCATGGCTTGTGTCATATGGGTGCTAGTGCTAGTGCAATACCTCATTCCTTATACAAAGAAATTATGCATGATATTGCACCTGCTGAGATAGAAGCAATAGATGTTACAATTAAGCTTGCCAATAGAGATACTATTTCACCGGTTGGGATTGTTAGAGATGTTGAAGTCTTGTGTGGGAAAGTTAAATATCCTGTTGATTTTCTTGTTCTTGGTTCCCCACAAGATGACTTTTGTCCCATTATATTTGGTAGACCCTTCTTGAATACTGTTAATGCTAAGATAGACTGCAAAAAGGATGTTGTTACTATTGGTTTGGGGGATATGTCTCATGAGTTTAATTTTGCTAAATTTCATACACAACCCCATGATAAAGAATTGCCTATTAAGGTAAGGATGAAATTATTGGTCTTGCTTCTATTGCCGTGCCTCCTAATGATCCTTTAGAACAATATTTGCTAGACCATGAAAATGATATGTTTATGAATGAAAGAAGGGAGATAGTCCATGCCATGCCATGCCAAACATTGAACTCTCTGAAATAATCAACTTGAATGATCATTAGTTCAATGAGCTATATGTTATGAATTACCAAAACCACCCAGAGATTAGTTGCACTTTCAAAGACCCTACGTCTAGAGCTCTTAAATTTGTTTCTTTCTTCTTGTCCAGAGATTATAAAGGGTTGCAAACCCTTGTTCCAGAGCTATGGGCTGGTTATATAGAGTGCGCCACCCCTTCCTATAGCTACATTACAAGGGATTTCAGAAGGTTTAATGATGTTGAGCATTACATATATTGTCTGGTGAATTGATTGCCGATAACATATAGGCTATGTGTCTATTGACGTTCTCGATTCCATGGTTGACTGCTCAGCTTCCCTTGTCCGAATATCTTACGTGGCTGAGTAGTTCAAGAGCATCTGAGTAGATTCAGTCTTCGGTGGTTGTTCGGGTAACGGAAGCCTTGAAGGCCATCCGAGTATATTAGGCCTCGAATGTCGTCCGAGTGATGAGGGTGTCCCAACCCACGTGAGTAGATTGATGACGTGTACGTCTTTCCCTGGCTTTTGTGGGCCCTCATATCACGGGTATCATGCCTTTGGTGGGCCTACCTGGTATGGATATCCCCAACACTCTAGGCCGACCCAGTTACTCTTTTGTTGTTTTAAACCCTAAAAAACGTGTGCACGATGTGGTTCGATTCGGGCTCCTCCCGGTTTAGTACCGAGCGCACTAACCGGGCTCCTTAGTTTTATTTTTCTTAAAATGTGACACTGAAAAATGCAGTTGTTTCCTGTTTGGTTTTCTTTGTCTCTTCCCCCCTTTTTTTCTTTTTCTTTCTTAAATGCTCGAACTTTTCAAATTCGTGATTTTCCTCAAGATCAACGATCTTTTTTAATTCGATATCTTTTTCTTCAAAACCGATGATCTATTTTCAAATTTCTTGATTTTTTTCTAATTTGATGATTTTGTTTCAAAATTGATGGACTTTTTTTGGTCAAACTTGCTGAACTTTTTCAAAGTTGCAATTTTTGCAAAATTGAGGAACTTTTTCAAATTGCTGCTTTTTTTCTTGAAATTGGTACCTTTTTTCAAAATCGATGAAGTTTTCTTCAAAATGATGAACTTTTTATAAAATCCGTGAAACTTTTTTTATTTCACAATTTATTTCAAAAGTATTTTCAAACGGGCTGGTTTTTTCTACTAGATCAACAACACAAAAAAAACTAGCTGGCGGCCGAGCGAGCGAAGCCAGCCGCAGAGCAGCTGGAGCGAGCGGGGAGCAGGCGAGTGAACTCGCGTTGCTGGGCCGAATGGAAAACCAGCAGGTCCAACTTAATTGTGTGGTTGGGCCTCGAAGCTGCTGTACAAGCCCAACTAAACAGACTATTTATCCAGACCCCCCACCTCCTCCCTCAGTCCTCAGCCACCACACCGATCTAGGGTTTCCTGCTAGGGTTTTAGTCCTTCGTTTCCGGCGGCGGCGCAAGATGGGTGAGAGACTGAAGGGTACCGTGAAGTGGTTCAACGTGACCAAGGGGTTCGGCTTCATCTCCCCGGAGGACGGCAGCGAGGACCTCTTCGTCCACCAGTCCGCCATCAAGGCCGACGGCTACCGCAGCCTCAACGAGAACGACGTCGTCGAGTTCGAGGTCATCACCGGCGACGACGGGCGCACCAAGGCCACCGACGTCACCGCACCAGGAGGAGGTGCGCTCGCCGGCGGCTCCCGCCCTAGCGAAGGCGGTGGTGACCGCGGGGGTCGCGGCGGCGGTGGCTACGGTGGAGGCGGCTATGGCGGTGGCGGCGGCGGCTACGGAGGTGGCGGCGGTGGCTACGGCGGCGGTGGCGGCAGCTACGGCGGCGGTGGCGGCTACGGAGGTGGTGGTGGCGGCGGCCGCTACGGAGGAGGCAGCGGTGGCGGCCGTGAGTGCTACAAGTGCGGCGAGGAGGGCCACATCTCCAGGGACTGCCCCCAGGGCGGCGGTGGCGGTGGTGGTGGCTACGGAGGCGGTGGCGGCCGTGGCGGTGGTGGTGGCGGTGGCGGCTGCTTCTCCTGCGGCGAGTCCGGCCACTTCTCGCGCGAGTGCCCCAACAAGACCAACTAGGCGGCGCTGCCCGTCAGATCTGAGTTCCCCGTTCCCCTTCGCTCCTTTTCCTACCGCCTGACTCTGCAGCAAGTCATACCTATACCTATCAGTATTAGTATATGTCGCCGTAGTGTTCCCGTGCTTCTCGTAGGAAGAAGAATCGACGATGCGAGCTTGGTTCCAGAAGTATTGTTGGTGGATTATTGTTCGTTCGAAGTTATCTTGTCGTGTCGTCTGATGTGGACAGACTGATCTATCTCTATGTATTGGATGGACCGAAGTTATGCAAGTCTAAGTTATGCTGTCTGATTATTGATCTCGATGAAACTTGCATATCATTTTCATTTTCCTAAAACAAAAACAGTTTATTTTTTTCATTTTGTGAAGTGTCAGGTTTCCAGTTGTTGGATCTTTGTGTGCATCTCGGAGCGTGCTCCTCTGTGGTTGTACAGGCTTGATTGTTCATTGTTTTATGTGACTGTTTAGTGTGGTTGGATGGATTGTGGAAATTGCATGCTTAACTATGACTGTTCACAGATTAGTATTAGTACATTTGTTCAGAGATTAGTTTTAGTACATTTGTTCAGAGATTAGTTTTTTTCATGTGTTATATTTGTTCAGATATTAGTATTGGTATATATGTTTGATGCATGAATGAACAGCCCCACTATTTATATCTGTGTACTGAGGTCAACAAGGTTTCGTAGCTATGTTGTGCTTACAGTTTCTCTATGCTTTCTGTTCCTTTGTCTGTCAGCTTGCATCGTTGTTCAGTATATCGGTATTTGGAGTTTTAATCTGTCTTACTTACAGTCATTGAGCTCTTGCCTGGCGATGGCTTCTTATATCCAGTAATTTTCTTTTGGTCTCTCTTTGTCGTCAACCTCTTACTCAGTTTTTAGCCTTTTAATTCTCATCTTTTTTCTTCAGCTTCACCAGTTTCTTTGTTCCTGTTTGAAGTTTCTCAAATTTTGTCCATGGCACATTGCATTATTTATTCATATTGCGGTAATGATTATGACAATTATATCCTTATTTTTTGGAAGTGACAAACAAAGAAGCACCCAGAGTTAAGACACTTTCTTTTTGCAAGCTTTATTTTTTTGCATTTGCATGGTTGGTTTTTGCATTGGTGAATTTCATGTGCAACCAAGCTGTAAGTCAGTCACCTTGTTTCATTTTGTACTGATGAATGGAAGTTATCGTTTGCTTGCTATGAAGTTCTTTTTTTTTTAAATCTAAAATTGACAGGCAATTGCATTTGTAGCCATAAACGGAACAGACACCTTTGTGATAGTCCAAGTAGCATACTTTTGTTAGCTATTCAGAAAAGATGTTGCTATACTATCTCTTACTGCGGCTTAAATTGTTTTAAATTGTTGTTCTCATCTTTCTATGTCTTTGTTCCGTCAGTCTTGTATCTCATCAGGATTTAGTGTGTGTTTTGTCAGTCTTCAGTGTCTTGCATCTCATCAGGATTTAGTGTGTGTTTCTTCAGTCTTTTCTCTGTCAGTGTTTAGATTTCAGTGCTATATCAGATACAGTATATCTTTACCAACGCAGCATTTTGTCAAAAAATCAAGTCTATCTAGCTTTTTCTCTTACATTTTTGCCTCGAGTTTTTGTGCAGCTATGTTTTCTTTTTCCAGAGATGATCACATGTATGTATTTTACCGTGTGTTTATCTAGTTGTAATGTCAAGTGCCAGGTCATTGTGGGATGAATGTTTCTCGAGTATGATCTGTAGTAGACTACGAAGAATCCTGAAATCTCGGATTTTGGTGGCAAATTAGACTCTGCGTATATATTAATATCAAAGTAGACTATCAATTTAATTTTGATTGGTGATGCTTATCATGTGCATTGTGGGATCAATGTTTCTTGATTTTTAGTTGTAGAGTATTTTTAGGAGCCGATGGATCTTGAATTCAAGGACTAGTTCTGAATCTGTTACATTTTGGCCAACGAGCTCAGTGAGTTACTCCCTTTGTTTGGAATTACTCGTCGAAGAAATGAATGTATCTAGATATATTTTAGTTGTAGATACATCCATTTTTGTTTCCGGAGGGAGTACATGTCAACAATTTACTCTAGCATTGTATATTTGAACTCGTCTGGCTGGGCAACTTGTACCGTTTATATGGTTTTATTTAGTTTTGTGTATACATAACCTGATTTCATATGCTTGGCTGAAAATTGCACGGGTAAGTTTCATGTTGCTTGTTCCGAAGAGTGCTGTATGGAGGTTTGGTTATCAATGAATGTCAAAGGATGAAAAGAGCAACAACAGAATAAGGTCATTTTGCTTACCTCTCCAGGATTTTAGTGTGTTTCTTCAGTCTTCTCTCTGTTTTCACTTAAGATGTCAGTGCGAAAACACCCGTGTCTTATGAAATCCATTTCTTTAAATGTAACCTTCAAATTTTCTAGCTTGCAGGACTATCCGTCCTTTTTACATTTTTGCCTTCGGTTTTTGTGTTACTTCTGCTGAAGGTGGATGCTGTCGGTTTTCCAAATTGTGAACATGAGCAAGGTAGGAATTACGTAGTTTCAGCTTTCATGAAACAGAAAAGCTAACCAGCGAACGTGAGATTTTTGGTGATCTCCAGCGAAACACCCTTCCTCATCCTGATCCACCCCCGCCCCCACTTTCCTCTTCAGAGCAAGCCCCCTCCTCGATCGTCGGCGAGTCTATTCTCGTCGTCTATGATATCTTGTGCGGCCGCGTCGAGTTTCTTCCGTCAGTCCTCGACGACGATTAAACACGGAGCTCGACTTGCTGATGTTCTTCCCTCCCAAGATCGCCCATCGTGAGCAGCCTCGCTCTTTCCCGATGCAACCAGACTGAATGCTGAGCGAGGAGGCACGGGCGTCGCCCGAACCGCAATGGATGGACTCGCTCGAGTTACGCCGGCGTGCCTTGCAGCTGTCGCTGCCCCTCTAGGAGATCGACGCCAGCGCTGTCGCTGCCCCTCTAGGAGATCGACGCCAGCGCGGCGACCTACGACTTGGCCTGGAGCCCCTGTGCCTACCTGCTCACCATGGCTGCCGCAAGGAGCTCCTGCGCTAGATCCAACACCGCGCAGGCTGCCCCCAAGCTTCCAAGTTCCAACCACCGTCTCGACGAACCGCGGCGTGGTGCTCGTCCCCTTAGGTCCCGCCCCCCTCCCCTGCTTGCTCCCTCCCTTCCACCTTCCACGTCTTTCTTCTGTTCTTTGTGCTCCCCATTGGTGTGTGCTAGACCAGCCCTGGCCGGTCCTTGTGTGCGCACTGTGTGACGGACCGCAGCGTTCATCCCCTTAGGTTCTTCTCCCCCTGCCCGCTCCCTCCCTTCCATCTTTCTTCTTCTGTTTTTTGTGCTCCCCATTGGTGCGTGCTCGCTGGTCTATGGCCATGGCCGGTCCTTGTGTTCTCGCTGTGCTTCCGGCTCATAGCGGTTCAGTAGACTTGCACAGGTTTCTTCAGATTTCCAACGTGAATGAATTTATTTTTATGCCAAATACCAGCTAGATTAGGCTATGAGGATGGGCCAACTCATGTAATAACATAATGGAAAATCCAGATCTGTTGTCATGGTTATATCATGCGAATTGTCACGGCTTTCTATCATGGCAATTCACCAATCCTATTTCTTTTTTGTTGCGCCGCACTGTGAGGCATCTCGCATTTTATATCAGTATGCAAGTTAGTCTAGTTGGTAAATTCACATTAGGTGTGTAGATAGCGCAGACAAACTACAATGGCAAATTCACATTAGGCATGTATATGGTTTTTAGTTGGCAAATTCACAATTTGTAAACTGCCATGGCACTTTTTTATACTCCATTACTATTACAAGGCCACTTCATTTTTATGTCTAATTTTGACCATTAATTTTACCAACAAAATTTGAGTTATATGCCATAATAAGCATGCCATTAGATGCACATTTGAAAGAACTTTTTATGATATATTTTTTGTGACAAACGACCCATATATTTTATTTTTTTGCGAATGAACCCATATTTTCTTGACCAAAATTGTGAGTCAAAGTTTGACATGAAAAATGAAGTGGCCTTGTATATAAAAATGGAGAGAGTATAATCTTGCAATGTTACATAGTTGCAATTGGTGAAGGCACTTTCCACACCAATTTTGACAATCAGTAAACTACCATGGCAATTAGTCTTTCTTTTTGCAATGACCCTTACATATTTTTGCCATTTTATATAGTCATTAATTGTTGTTGTGGATGCAATTTTCGCCCTTCACAGTCCGTAAAATTGCCGTGGGCCTTGTATATAAAAATGGAGGGATTATAATTTTTCCATTTTACATAGTTGCAATTGGTGAAGGCACTTTCCACACCAGTTTTTACAATTATTAAACTGCCATGGCAATTACTTTCTTTCTGCAATGACACCTTACATATTTGTGCCATTTTTTATGTTGTTGATCGTTGTTGTGAATGCAATTTTCACCCTTCACAGTCCGTAAAATTGCCATGGGCAATTTAGTACGATCTTTTGGCAAGAGCCCATGACACCTTATATATTCTTTTTGCACGGGATTTTTCATAAAATGTGTATCCAACACATGGCAATTTTTTGAAAATGTTTGCTTTTTATCCTTCATATTTTCTTAGAAGAACAAATGTTCTATATAACATGGCAAGTTTGAAATATGTTTTTCAAATGGCCACAATCTATTCTTTTTGTTATTATTTAAGAGATGTCATTTATTATTATTAAGAGATGGCTAGCATTTTTTGTTTATTAAGAGATGGCATTTTTTGTTTATTTAGAGATGATGGCATTTTTTGTTTATTTAGAGATGACTTTTATTATTTTTAAGAGATGGCATTTTTTATTTATTAAGAGATAGCATTTTTGTTTATTAAGAGGTGGAATTTTTTATTTATTAAGAGATGGCATTTTTGTTTATTAAGAGATGACATTTTATATTAAGGTATGGAATTTTTATTATTAAGAGAAGTCATTTTTTTACTAATAGATTACATTTTTATTATTAAGAGATGGCATTTTTTACCATGGCATTTTTCTTATTCTTTGTTACATGGCAACTCAAATTATAGGGCCATGACAAGTTTAAAACATTTTTTGAATATCCATGGTGAATTTATGATATTATAGGACGGCATATTTTAGAAGTCCAGAGCATGGATTTTTTTGAAAATGTCTGTTTTTTATCCTTCACATTTTCTTATAAGATCAAATGTTCTATATAACGTGGAAAGTTTGAAATATGTTTTTCAAATGGTCATAATCTGTTTCTTTCTGGTTTTGCCATGGCACATTCAAAACATTATGTTTCCCATGGCAAATATCATGGCAACTTTATGTTGGCATTTTTCTTACGGACAAATGGGGTGGCAACTTTTTCTAGGTGTTACAAAATGGTTTCATGGCATGTGTATTTTTCCATACATGGCAAATTTGTCATGTTTTGTATGGTATTTTTATAAAAGTTTTGCCATGCATGGCTGGGATTTTTTTGCCCAACTGGGGTTCGATCTCACAACCTCTTTTAGAGGCAAGTTCTGTTCTGGAGGGGCAGGGGGTTTATCGGTGCGAACGATTTCGTTCGCTGCAGCCTCCCCCCACGCTAGCTGGTTATTGTTGCTGTAAAAAAAAAGGAGCTGGTTCTTGTTAGCGTATTGTATTTTATGTGTACATTGTACCTGTGTATGTGTATCCTCCTGGTATATAGGATCGTGAGTAGTGCCCGGGCCTGCGTGCCACTTCCTTCGGGTTTCTTTCAGAGGCACTGGGCTTTACTGAAAGATGATATTGTTCTGGCCATTTTGGATTTTTTTAATGGGGGTATTTTGCCCGAGGGGTTGAATGACACGTCCATCACCTTGATCCCAAAGGTACGACACCCACATCGAATCACTCAGTATAGACCCATATCCTTATGTTCTGTCTTATACAAGATTGCCTCAAAATGCATCACCAATAGAATGAGGGTTTTTATGGGGGAGATAATCAGTGAAGAACAAAGCGCGTTTGTCCCTGGGCGCCTAATAACTGATAATGTGCTCATTGCGTATGAAAGTGTTCATGCAATGAAACGACGGAAGAGAGGGAAGAATTGTGTTTGTGCAATGAAACTTGACATGATGAAGGCATATGACCGAGTAGAATGGCATTATCTGGAAGCCATCATGCTGCGTTTGGGTTTCAGCGCACAGTTTGTCAGACTGATAATGAAGTGTGTCACGTCGGTTAGATTTACTGTTCCTGTGAACAGGGAGTTGCTGCCATTTTTTACACCCTCAAGAGGGTTTCGTCAAGGGGACCCTGTCTCACCGTATTTGTTCCTCCTATGTGCAGAAGGTTTCACTTCCTTGCTGAAGTTTTATGGAGGAGTCAATATCGACAGAGGTATTCGCGTAAGCTATCAATCGCCTTGGATAAATCATCTTCTGTTCACGGATGATAGTCTTATTCTCATGAATGCACAGGTAGCTAGTGCACTCAGGTTGAATGAGGTGCTACAGATTTACAGTGACTGCTCCGGTCAGTGTGTTAATAGGGACAAGAGCTCGGTCTATTTCAGTCCTAACACAACCGAACCAGTGCGCTGTTTGTTGAAGGCAGTTCTGAACATCTCAGTTGAAGCGTTCAGTGAACGATATCTGGGACTCCCAACTGCTGTTGGCCGTATCACTAGTGGAACTTTCGAAT